GCTCTCAGAGGTTTTTCCAGCCTTAACGACTCCATGCTTACTTTTCCCCCCACAAGATTTATCTATGCTGACTTTGTGTCACCTATGGATTTAATATTAAAAAGTAAAATAAAAGGTGATTAAAGCTGCAAAGCCCAAATGCCAGCAGCCATCCTTGGAGGATGCATCATTCCCTCCTTCCACCGCAGCAACAGCCCTTTGTTCCCAATTACGTAAAAAAATCTTATGGCTTGCTCCCAATTATACAAAAAAAAAAAAAAAAAAAAAAAAACAAAAAAAAAAAAAAAAAAAAAAAAAAAAAAAAAAAAAAAAAAAGGTGGAGAATACTTTTGGGGTTTTGCCACAGCTGTGCCCACCTCCTTGTACCATCCTCAAATCCCTTCTGGGCTGGCACAGTGCAACTTCCTCACAGAAAACCCATGCGGGCTCTTTGCCCACCCCACAACACCCACCCATTCCCCTACAACTGCTTCCTGTTCCTCACCCCATATCATCCATCTATTCCCCTACAACTGCTTCCCTTTCCTCACCCCGCACCTTTGGGATTTAGGGGAAAACCCTACCGGAGTTTAAAGCTCCCTGGCAGCCCAGCCAAGCCTTTCATCAGGCCGTGCCCATTTAAATGCTGATGCTCTTAATTCTCCCTAAAATCACCTGCTAATGGGTCCCCTCCCTCCGCCAGGGCTGGATTAGAAGCTCTGCCCACAAGTGCCCTCCTTAATATCCCGGTTATCCTCACCCCCTCTTAAGGTGTTAATTAGGGACACAAGTCAGGCACTGAGGGAGGGGGTAAAAAAAAGAAAAAAGAAGAAAAAAAGGAATAAACATCCCTTCAGATTAGCGTTTTGAAGGAGCGCGGGGCATGGGGAACCCACACCCTTCCACCTGGACCACCTGGATGCTCCGCTTCCCCTCCCGAGGGAGATCAAGGTTTGCTCGGCCGAGCCCGCAGTTGAAAGGCTCGGGACAAAGAGCAGCTCCAGCAGGTGGGTGAATTTCCCCCCATCCCCTCCTCCCACAAAAAGCCGGCCCCAAATAAACGGGAAAACAAACCCCAAAACCAGCCCAAAGCTTTGCGTGCTGCGTTAAGCCACAAAGGTTTCCACCTGCTGCCTGTGTTTCATCTTCCCGAGCCCAAAGGGGCAGGATTCTGCTCTGTGTCAGGAGAGGTGAGGATAAAACAACAGGGATTTTTCCCTTTTAATGCCTGGGGGTAGGTTTAAGGGGTTTTGTAACCCTTTCTTGCGCCGTGTGAGGTTTTATTCCTCACATGGGCGTTTTTAGGGGCGTTCAGTTTGAAATGCCACGTGAAGATCAGTGGAAGAGAGGAGGGTGTGAGCATCGGCTTTAAACAATTATTAAAAAATAAAAAGGGAGTTTCTGTGCCACAGCTTGGGGTGGAAGTGGTTCCTGATAGAACTTAGGAAGAAAATAGCGTTTGCTTCCCCTAAATCTCCCCAAATGACAGCAAAAACTGCGCCCTGTCCCATCCTCCCTCCTTGGGAGTTTAATTCCTTTGTGCCACGGCTGTCCCCGGGTGCAGCAGAGAGGAAAGGGCTCCAGGAGAGCTGGAGAGGAACTTTGGAGGGACAGCACAAGTGGAATGGCTTCAAAGTGACAGCTGGCAGGGCTGGATGGGATATTGGGAATTAGGAATTGTTCCCTGGGAGGGTGGGCAGGCCCTGGCACAGGGTGCCCAGAGCAGCTGGGGCTGCCCCTGGATCCCTGGCAGTGCCCAAGGCCAGGCTGGGCAGGGCTTGGAGCAGCCTGGGACAGGGGAAGGTGTCCCTTTCCAGCAGAAGTTGTTATAATAATGCCTGGCCTTGCCAGGGGAAAATCATCTGACATGAATAAGCCTCCTGTGAAAACCCCCTAAATGCTCTGGGACAGTGCTGGGGTTGAGCAGGAGTGCTGAGGAAATGGAAGTGTTGGTCCCAGCAAGCCTGGGGACAGAGAGGTTGGGCTCAGCCAGGATCATTAAGCTTCTTTACAGATTTCCGTGTTTAAAAATATCAATATTGAACTTCACAGAGCTTTGCTGAAGCCCTTCCAGCCCTAAAAGCAGGAGCAGTGAATACACCAGAGGTGCCAAAGCTCTTCATCCACCAAAACCTGCTTCTTTCATTGACTCTCCTCTTGCTTAGGATAAAAGGAGTTTTCCTGACTTTTTGGAGGGAAAAATTCCCTTGGAGAGGAGGAGAATGGTGGGGAAGTGCATCCTGAGGTGCCTTTCCCAGCTGGAGTCACTGGTTTGTGTGTCAGGAGCTGAGGGCTGGGGTTCCTCCTTATTTTCCCTCTGGATCACAGCAGGACATCCAGACTGGACACACCGACCAGTCCAGACTCAGAGGCTCCACACATTCCATTTTTTCCCCCAAGTTTTATATTTTCTGCTTCCCACAGGTCTTTTGTTGTTGTTGTTGTTATTGGGTTGGTTTGAGGCTTGGAAGGAATTCATCCAGGCATTTCTGATAAGGAGAATCTGTCACTTTTGGGAAGGATCCAGGAGGGACCAAGGTGATGCCACCTGCCCATTCCTCAGGGAATGTCTCCCACCCACCTCCCAGTGCCCTTCCCCTGGGAAAGGGGACACGAGCAGCCTTTGCTTCTGCCTCTCTGTGACCATTTTCCAGAGCTCAGGGGCTGTTTGTCCCCATTCCTCAGCTGCTGGAGGAGTGTTTTGACTTCCCAGGATGATGCAGACCTCGAGTGGGTTCAGGTTTTGGGGACAGAACGATGCTCAGGGCCAAGGGAAGACTGAAAATCCCTCCCTTCAATAACAATTTTTGTTTAATCTTAACAGACACAGGGTGATATTCTCATTAATTTTTTCCTAAGGGATGTTACTAAATCAAATTTCTTGGATTTACCTAAAGATCAAACCCTGAAAGTCCAAAAGGGGCAGAAATGGGAAGAAATCATCCTGACTGCAGATGTGGTAAGAGAGGAAAGGATTAAAAACCATCAAAACCATTGTTTTTGTGGAATCTATCAATGAAATTTAATTATTCTGGAGATGTCTGTGGTAGCATCCATCCTGCTGGGCACAGACCACAGGACGCAGATGCAACCAGTGCTGACCTGAGCTCCTCTTGCCTCAGAATGGCTGCTAAAAATGCTCTTTTTTCCTTCTTCAGGCTGGGAAAGTGAAGAATGCACAAGAAGCATTTTTAGTTAAGGCAAAGGCAGGTGTGGAGATGGCCAAACTGAACAAAGCAGAGCGTGGAGGACAAAGATGTACCAAAGAGAACAAGAAATGGTGTTTAATGCCCCACAAGGGTATTTTGCCCTGCCTGCAGGGGTGTCAAAGCTGCGCTGGTCCCTCTCACTCTCTGGAGAAAAAGCCCTGACCCTAGTGACAGTGGTTTAAATGTCCTAGGGATTATGGCACTGTTCATGACAGATTTGAACCCACCTGAACAGTTCCTGGTGCTTTTCTCAGCCAGATCCCTTCACTTTTTCATAGCCAGGTCCCTTCATTGCCCCAGTGCCACTGATTTTTAGCAGGCATAACATTATTATGACAATAAAATAATTATATTATTATGTATGTTGCACAATGTTTTTTTATTTTTTTAAGTTTGAATTTTTAAAGTACTTAAAACTGTTGTTTTGGTGTTGTTTGTTTGGTTTTTTTTTTTTAATTTTCACAGCCTGGAATGATGATTCAAGCACTAAACTCCAGCCTCTGAGTCAAGAACTCTTTCAGGGGCTGCTTCAACCCCCAGTTCGTGTTGTGACTCTATTAAAAGCTGCTCCAGAGAGACTGAAAGTGTGGGTTTAGGTGCTATAAGGACCATCAGTGTTTTACCCTCCATTCTGGAGGAGTTTTGGCTGTTCTCAGCCAGTTCCAGAGCTGGAAGGAGACTGGGAATGATCCTAACCCCAGCCCCCTGCCTCTCCCTGGGGCTGTTCTCCCTCCTTTACATTTCCTGTGCCCGTGGCCTTGGTTCAGCACCACCCGAGCTGCAGTGGGGCTGCTGTTCCACAATCCCGTGTTCCCAGGGAATTTAATGCCCTAAAGAGGCAGCACCAAACGCCCAGGAGCAGGCAGCATTTAAGGGATGCTCCCACACACGGTGCCCTCGGAGCCCCCCAGGGATGTGCTGGGTTTGGGCTGGGGTGCAAAGCACTTTTGGGGTGTTCAGGGAAGGCTCCACCGTGATTTTGCACCCCAAACCCCTTCCCCAGGTTGCAGGGGGGCACCTGCAGCCCAGCAGCCCCACGACCCCCACTTAGAACCATCTGAAACGGGGCGGAGGCAGCCAAAGAGGTGGGGGGAAACGTGTGCTCGCAGCTTTCCCTCCCTCCAAGCCATCCCAAAAAGCCGAAAAGCCGCAGAATGACGGGGGAAAATAAATCTTTATTCTGCATGGAGCAAGGAGTGAGCGGTTGAGATCGGCAGCACCCGTGGTTGGTCCAGCACAGCCCCTCCGGTGATCCCTCACTCCCTCCTCCCTCCCAAAACCAAGGAGAGCGATCCTGCTCTTCCAGAGCCCCAACCGCGCTGCCTCTCCTCGCTTTGGTGGCCAGAGGGCATCGGTGGCGACCACGGAATTCCTAAAAAGCAGCAGAATGGCGACCACGGCATCCCTAAAAAACCAATGCCGACAGCGCCAAGCCAGCAGCCTTTCCCATGGGATGCTGGGGGTGAACCCCCCGCCCCCGGGCAGCCCCACACGGGCAGGGACGCGGGGTGAATTTAAAGAGTTTTATTCGGCGGCATCCCTCCGAGCCAGAATGGAAAAAACAAAAACAAAAAAAAACCCAGTGTGTACAAAGTCACAGTCACGGCTTGAACCAAAAAAAAGAAAAAAAAAAAAACTCATTAAAAACTCGTTAGAAGTCATTCAAAGTCCCGGCGTTATGTACAGCTAAGTGCCAGCTGGAGTATTCACAACACAGTAACGTACTGCAAGAAGTCGCTGAGGAGAAGTTCCCTTGAGGAACAACCTTCGCTCCGGCGGGGCCGGAGCCTGTCGCGTCCGTGTGTCCGTCCGTGTGTCCGTGGCTCAGTGCGGCTGGCAGGTGTGCAGGCGGGACGCGTCGGCGGGGCCGGGCTCTCGCTGCGGGCGGCACGCCAGCCCCTCGCTGCACGGGCAGCGCTGGAAGATCTCCAGGCCGTGCGAGCCTTTCCGCCGGTGCCGGGTACACACCTGCCCCTCCCGCAGCACCGGCTTGCAGATCTTGGACCAGAAGTGGCGGGCGCAGCACAGCCCGGCCGCGCAGTCCGAGGAGCGCAGGCAGAAGTCGCCTTCCTCGCCTGCGGGGGGACAGCGGGGGGATGCTCAGCCGGGCGGCGGGGCACGCAGGGTGGGCATCCCCCGCCGCCCCGCCGGCACGGTGGGCATCCCGGGTTTGTCTGCTGGTGATAGAGGGGCTGGGGAGCATCCCGGAGCGACCCCAAAGGGGAGAGGAGGGAAAGGAGGCATCCCGCAGGGGACGGCAGGGAAAGGGAGGCATCCCCGAGCGATGCCAAAGGGGACGGCAGGGAAAGGAGGAATCCCAGAGTGATGCCAAAGGGGGCAGCAGGGAAAGGAGGCATCCCAGAGTGATGCCAAAGGGGGCAGCAGGGAAAAGAGGCATCCCAGAGCGATCCCAAAGGGGGAAGGAGGGAAAGGAGGCATCCCAGAGTGATCCCAAAGGGGGAAGGCAGGGAAAGGAGGCATCCCAGAGCGATGCCAAAGGGGACAGCAGGGAAAGGAGGCGTCCCGGAGCGATCCCAAAGGGGGCAACAGGGAAGGGAGGAATCCCGGAGCGACGCCATGAGGGATGGTGCAGCAGAAAGAGCATCCTGGACTGATCCCGTGCGGGACATCGAGACAGAGTGGGCATCCCGAGTGGTCCCACGGGGAACTGGGATGCAGGATGGGCATCCCGAGTGATCCCCCGGGGGACAGAGGTGCAGGATGGGCATCCCGTGTGATCCCCCGGGGGACAGAGGTGCAGGATGGGCATCCCGAGTGATCCCACGGGGGACAGCAGGGAAGGATGGGCATCCCGGACAGATCTCAGGGCAGGGGGACAGCCCGGACTGGTGGCCAGGGGACGGCAGGGAAGGATGGCAGCCTCAGGCGGGACAGCGAGGTGACAGCAGCCGGGACCTGCCTCACCTTTGGCAGTGGGGAGCCAGGCGGGAGCGGGCGTCCGTCGGGGCAGCGCCTCGGTGCCGGTCTCGTCCAGCTCGGCCGCTCCGTGGGGCGGCTCCAGGGGCGTGCAGAGACCTGCGGGGCAGCGGGGCGGCTGTCAGCCACGCGTGGGACCCCGGCCCGTCCCGCGGCCCCCAGCCCCGCCTGTCCCTGGCCTCACCGTTGCTGCAGGTCGTGCCGGGGCAGCACATGGCATCGCGCAGGCAGCGCTTGCGGCGCCGCCGGCAGCCGAGGCACAGCGGGACCCCCCCGCCGCGGGCCCCGCAGAACTCCTCGGGGCCGCAGTCCTCGTCCTCGGCGCACGGGAAAGGCTGGGGGGCACAGAGGAGGCGGGGGGATCAGCGGGGCCGATGATGCCATCCCCGAGTGTCCCCCTCTCCATCCATCCCCCGTGCGTCCCTCCCCGTCTACACCCTCGTCCCCGGTGTCCCCTCCATCCCCGAGGTGTCCCCCACTCCATCCGGTGTGTCTGTGTCCCCATCACCCGCTGCGTCCCTCTCCTCCGTCGCCGATGCTCCCCTCTCCACCCCCGGAGCGTCTCTCCATCCCCTGGGCAGCCCCTCCATCTACCCGCGCTGTGTCCCCTCTCTTCCATCCCTTCCACCGACGGTGTCCCCTCCTCCATCTCCCGGTGTGGGTGTCCTCATCCACGATGTGCCACCCTTCATCCCAAATGTGTCCCTCAACTCCATCCCCGACGGGTCCCCTCCATCCCCGGCGTGTGTCCCTCTATTCCCGGTGTGTCCCCTCTATTCCCGGTGTGTCTCCCATCTCCATCCCCGGTATGTGTCCCCCTCCATCCCCGTTATGTGTCCCTCTATTCCCGGTGTGTGCCCCTATCCATCCCCGGTGTGTCCCCCTCCATCCCTGGCGTGTGTCCCCCTCCATCCCCGATGTGTGTCCCCATCTCCACTCCCGGTGTGTGTCCCTCCATCCCCGGCGTGTGTCCCTCTATTCCCGGTGTGTCCCCCTCCATCCCCGGTGTGTGTCCCCATCTCCA